CGCGCTCTTCGTGGCCCCATACGCATTCCCTTCGTGTCCCCGCTGTCGCCCTTCGTGTCTCGCTCTCGCTTTCGCTCGTCGTCGTCGTCGTCGTCGTCGTCGTCGTTGTCGTCGCAGTCGGTCCCCTGTCCGTCCCTCTTGGGGTCGGGTCGACGGTCCGCGGCCGCCCCGCCGATCAGCGCTGCCGCTGGCCAGGCCGACGGTCCGCGGCAGCCCCGCCGCTTGCCGGGGCCTGGCCTGCAGGGAAGAAAGGTTCACCCCCCAAAAGGGGTTCGATCGAAGACGAAGAAGGCGGGTACCGTGGGTTTGGGAAATACGCGTTATTGGACACAAGGCGAACAGTCTTACAATTGTTGTTGTTGTTGTTGTTGTTGTTGTTGTTGTTGTTATTGTTGTTGCTGCTGTTGTTGTTCTTGATGTTGTTGTTGCTGTTGTTGTTATTGCTGTTATTGTGGTTGTTGTTGTTGTTGTTGCTGTTGTCGCCGTTGCGGTTGTTGTTGTTGTTGTTGTTGTCATAGTAAGACGCAATGCAGATGAGTTCCCGCCTCGCACAGCGGGGGTCTTTGAGGTGACTTAGGCGGTTGCTGCGGAGATAGGGGGGTTAGAAGCGGATGGTAAGATGGGTCGCATTTGGCCTAACATGATTTGTAAGCAGGTTGCAAGTGCCCGAAGTGGCTTAGGGGGGTGGATATTTCCGCGAAGTGGGCAGAGCCCACTTAGCCCGGATCGTTCACCCCCCCAGGCCATTTGGGGCATGTGTAACCCACTTGTAAGCTAGGCTCGGCAAGATTAAAACCATCTTCACATCCACTCCCTCCAGCCTTCTGGGAAGCTGCCTCTGTTTTAGGCAAAGGCTCGTGCATTTTATCAGGAGGTGCGAGGGTTTCTGAGAAGTCCTGCGCACGCCGTCATTTTGTTGAAAAAAGGTCCAGTTCGAGGTCGAAAGGGGCTCGGTGGTTCCGTAGGCCTGCGTGCGTTCCGCTGCGTTTTGGTGGCGAGCCCCTTCGGTGCTCTTTCGAATTTCACGGTCGTTCTTTTGGACGTCACGGCTCGACTTCGAAACAAAGGGGGCTTTGTTCTCCACGGTCAGCCCGCATAGTTAGGATGATCCATTTTCCAAGGCTGCTCTTGCATCTTTCCCTGTTGGCCCGTCCGTGGCCGCTTTCGCTGGCCGCGCCCCGCTCGCAGAGTGTCAACATAGCCTTCCAAGGCCCTTGCATCCTCATCGTGCGTTCTTCTTATACGCGGGCAGACTGATTTCGCTCCTCGTTTGAGCAGCCCGACTCCTGGGAAGTCAAATTCTGATTTTGTCCTGGTCCAAAATCTGGCTTCATCCAGCTCAATGCCGTTTCTTCCGGCTCAATCCCGTTCAATTTGGCTCAATCCAGCTGAATTCGCGGCCCAATCAAGCGTAGCGCTCCCTCAACGGGGCTTAATCCTCCCCAGTCCTTCCGACGAAGACCTCCCAGCAGTTGCCTCCAAACGCCCCTGCCTCGCACCGCGGGGGCCTTCGAGAACACGAGACCCTCCGCTGGCCCAAGCCGAAGAGCCCTCGAGGGTGCCCTCCCCCAGGACGCACCCAGCACCTCCCACAGGCGCGCAGAACACTGCAGGGCATCGGCGTCCCCCCAGCATACTTATACTATGTGTTCGTCGCCCCCCCAGGGGCGACGCGCGCACCGAGAAATCTTGTAGTATATGCGTCGTGGCGGGCGCTTTCTGGCCACACCGCTCGAGAAACGATATACTACAAGATGGGTATACTATATGTTCGGGTCGGACGCGCGCCTCCAAGGTGGACATGTAGTATTAGTATGTCTCTGTGCGTCCCAGGGCACCCTCCCCGCACCCACCTCGACCTCCCACCTCGGCCCGGGCCTGCGCCCCTGCCTCGCACCGCGGGGGCCCGCGGCCTCGCGGCGGCCCTGCCGCCCATGGGCGCCCCGCGGGCCCGGGGGGCGCCCGCGGCCCCCGCGGCCCCCGCGCGCGCGCGGCGCTGCCCCCCGCGCGGGGCTCTCTGCGCGCGGCGCCCCCCTCATCCTCCCGCCCGGGCGCGGGCGCCCCCCCCCCCCCCCCCCTCCTCCGAGGGAGCTCTTGGCCGGCCAGGCAGGCGCCCGCTCGGTCGCTCCCTCTCTCACTCGATCCGATCAAGAGATTGATGCTTAGGGTGGGAGGGGTCCGGTCGTAACTTTGTTTCGAACTTTTTTTTTTTTTGGTTCGTCAGGGCCCCCCCCGGCCCCCCCCCGCGAGGAGGCCGTGGGGCACGCGCCGCGTAAGCAGGGCAGGGCAGGAGAGGGGGGTCCTGGGCCGTGCTGGTAGGGCCTGTCGAGTCCCTGTCCTGGGCTTCCCGGGCCCGAGCCCGGCCTCGCGTGGCCGACGGGGGGCGCCCCGTGGCGGCGGGGCTTCGGGCAGCCGCGCGCCACGGCGGGCCCTGCGATAGGCCGCGGGTACGGACACGTGGTGCGCCGCAGCGCGGCAGGGGCCTCCTCCGCACGCGCGCATCGGGCAGGGGCTGGGTGACGGCACTGCGAGACCTGCCCGGGTGCAGGGTGGGGGGAAGGAGGGGGAAGAGAGGAGCGGCCGCGGGAGGCGGGGAAGACTGAACCAGGGCGCTCACGCAGCGGGGGCCGCAGCGGGGCGCCTGGGGCAGCCAGGCCGGTGCTGCACCCATGGCAGCGGGCACGGGGCGGCGTCGCGACCACATCCAGGGGCCAGGGCAGCGGCTGCAAAGCGGGGCCGTGGGTATGGGTACGGTACAGTCAACAGTCAACGCGCCCAGAAAGGACGCGCGCCTGAATCTAGGGTGCCCTTGTATCCGTTTCTTTTGCGGCCCGTATTTTGCCGCTGTCACGGGTCGCCCAGCGCCCCACCAAAAAATCCTGGGCCACCCTCGGACCAGTGCCACGTCCAGGGGAAACAAACTCAGATGGTATTCCGGTCACCCCGTGAATGCTTCGAATGGCATTGCCTCTCTGTCTCCTGGCTCGCTGTTGGCCGTCACGCGTCAGACGTCCTGGCCACTCCTCTGGCATGGCGGACACCACAACCGAGGTCTTGCGCCGCACGGCCAGACAGCCTCACGGGTCGCCAGCTTGCAGTTGCACCGCGGCCGCCCTCACACGTTTCCTGCAGTAACCCCCCGTTCCGAAGTCTGGTGCGTGTGGAGTGGGAGGGACCTGGGCGCAGTCTTGTGACCCCGTGCCCTGCAGGCCGCTCGCACCGCGCGCCTGGAGCGGCGGGGACTGCTGGCGATCCCGCCATCGCTTCCCGGGCACACAGCTTGCTGCCAGCAGGATGCGTTTCTCCTGGCAGGTCACCGGTGGGGACAGACAGCACAACTCCCCCCCATTCCCATCGAGGACCTACTCCCGACCTGGTGATCCCGGGGATCCTGGCTGGGGGTGCAATAGTTTTTCGGCCCCCGAAGAGCCCCCAAACCAACCCCACTCCTGGCCAGGGCCCCCTGGATCACCAGGCTGGGAGTGGGGGTCCAGGCTGGGGATGGGGGTGGTTTGTGCTGTCTTCGAATGAGGGGCCGTGCGGGGTGGAGAGCGTGATCGCATGCGCGTGAGGGTACGTGCGCAGAGACTGGCAGAGAGGCGCAGCTGTGCGCGCTCATGCAGATGCTTCCTTCGCTGTCTGGCTATATTTCGCATTGTGGCACTTCTCTGTTGTCCGCTTTGCCGCCGGAGGACGTCGTGCCCATGTGGGGCGTGGAAGGGAACGACGAGCGCAACTTCGAGCTTTCGCAGAGTAGTTTTTAGCGTGAGACTCGTGCACAAGCAGAGCTAGTCCGTGAACTACACGGATAAGATGATGAAGGCATCGCGCAGTGCCGTCCTTCCAAGTTATGGCGTTCCCTGGTGATGCAGGGGCATGAGCAGGAGCAGTCGGGTGCAACAGTGGCGATAACGACAATGACTGCGACAGTGCCGCTTCCTGGCTCTGTCGAGCACACGCTACGACATCGCCTCCCCAAGCCCAGTCCGAAACTGTGCACGGTAGAGAGCACAACTCCGAGGCCGATCGCTCCTCCCTCCCTCCTCGTAGCATGCCCGCTTCACATCCTCGGCGTAATCCAGCCCGATCCAGCTCAATGGTTTCGTAACCTGGCCTCAGCGGCCTTCGTCGTTCATACGAAGACCTCTGGGAAAGAAACAGAGCGCGTCACTCCTTTCGACCCCCGCCCACTCCCCGCCCACCCCACAATCTCCCAGAATTCCCTCCGCCGCCCTCGCGGGCGCAGGCCTGAACTCATCCGATGGAGCCGAGCAGAGGCCACGCAGCGGCGCAGACGGCGCGTCGCCCCCCCCCCCCCCCCCCTGGGCCCTGCGCTTCGACCTTGGAAGAAGGGCAAGCGGCATCGTTCGTCGGAGACGTGTGCGTTTCTTCTCGGCGAGGACCGTCGGGGAGCATCCTAGCATCCTGGATCTCGCAAAACAAACAGCACGCACGAAGCCGAAACCTGCACAGGGAAGGAGCGTCAGAGCGATGGCCAGCAGCAAATGGCACGAGTATGAGCTGTCGGTGCACCGCGCGGACTTGTTGCATCGGCGCTGGCCCCCTCATAGAGCTTTCTCGGGCCAGCGCCGGCGACGGTGGACCGCGCTCCCTCGCTTGCCTTGGGTGACCTTGGAGACCCTCTTGGGCTCTCCGGTGCCCTCTTGGAGCCACCTCGTCCCCACAACGGGAGGGGCGCCCCCCTCCCCGAAGGGGGGGAAGGAGGGGGCCGTGCAGAAGGAGCTCGCTGGACCACTCACGCCCTGCAGGGCTGGTGGGATCCCCTGCCAGCCGGCTGCGGCGAGGCGCTCGTTCTCGTCTTTGGACCAGCCCGGGCTCTCCTGAGCGACCTCGGAGGCCCTCGGCGAGGCTCCCCTGGTGGGGCCCTCTCGGAGGGCCGTCTCGGGCTCCCTGGGGCCCTCCCTGGGGCCTTCGAGCCCCTCGCCCCTCGTGCCCCTCGCCCCCCGCCGCTCCTCCCCGCGCGGCCGTGGGTCTGCCCGAGCCCCAGGGGCCCCTGCCGCGGGTGCCCGCGCTCCCCTCCGCGGGCGCGCTGGGCAGTTCCCCAGCAGGGGGGGCACCAGCGATGGCCGCCGATAAGGACGACCCGCAGAAGCTCGTCATCCGCAACACCTTCTGGGAGCTGAAGGAGGACGAGGCCTGTCGCCCTCCCCTCCCCCTCCTCTGTCCTCCTCGCCTCTCTCCGTGCCTCCCCATCCCTGCCTCCCTCGCCGTGGCCGTCCCCCCGTGTCCCTCTCCCTGCCTCCCCTCCTTTTCCCGCAGTTTTTCAATGCACACATATGCTTGATACGTATGCATATGTGTATGTACATATATATATATATATATATATATATATATATAGTTATATATACACACTTACACATATACATATAAATGCATTATGTTTTGTTTGTGTATCTCTCTATATAGTTTTTTTTTCCGTTTTACTCCTCTCTCTCTCAATATATATATATATATATATATGTATATCTGTATAGATGTTTATTTGTGTGTCTCTCTCTCTCTCTCTCTCTCCCCCTGTCGTCGCGACGTGGGCGCGGCGCGGAAGTGGGCGGAGTTTTCAGCCGCAGTCTCGCGGGGTGGGGCGGGGGTGCCCCCCCCAGCCTCCGGGAGGTGCGCGCGTCTCGGCGTCGGCTCGGCACTGCCGCCATGCAGCGCGGCGGTCTCCCCGCACGCTGCCTCGCGCCACTCCTCCCTCTGGCGAGCACGAGGGCACCGGCGCGGTCGCATCGCTCTCTTCTCCTGATCGCGATGTGTCCGGCTCTGCTCTGGCATCGTGGAGTTCCAGCTCCCGTGCCTCTGCCAGCGAGTCGTGGCCGCGCGGTGCCGTTGATCCCGGTCGCCAGCCTGGGCGAGCAGCTCCTGTCCGAGGAGCAAGCAACTGCACAAGCATTCACCTTCGGAGTTGCACGTGGACTTCTTGGATCTGCGGTGGGCCCCCCTCGTTGGCGCGCGGAGCGCGCCAGGGGGGTCCAGCGCAGGTCAGCGCAGGTCCAAGAATTCCGCGCGGACTGTTTGAAGTTAGTGTGTCATGTAGTTATTATTCTTCTTCTTCTTCTTTTTCTTCTTCTTTCTCTTCGATTATGTGGCCAGAGATGCAGTTCTTCTTCTTTGATCCTTGTACCAGAGGATCAAAGAGAAGGGCGACTGAGATGCCCGCAGCGGTTGCTGATGGGATAGGCTGATGGGGTGAATGCTAGAGTGGGTAGCCTGTGGCCCAAACTAGCTTGTGCGTGGGTCGCAGGTGCCCTGAGTGTCTTGGGAGGGCTAAACAGCTCCGCCGAGGGGGCGGAGCCCACTCAGCCGGGATCGGTGACCCCTCGAAGCCACGCAGGTCGCATGCAGTCCCTTACCAGCCTGGAACATATCCCTGTCCCTATGCTGGGCACCTCCTCATCACGATGCCAATCTTAGGGACTCCCTTATTTTTTGAGGGCGAATCTTTAAGATCGTCATCGCCTTTCGGCGTGTCAATCTTAGGGATAGGGATACGTTCGAGGCTGGTAAGTCACTTTCTGAGCCAGGCTGGGCCATACACCACCCGCCTCGGCCTCCTCTGCCGGCCCCCCCCCCCCGCCCATCGGTGATCTCGTCAGGAGGAGGAGGAGCAGGAGGAGGAGGAGGAGGAGGAAGAGGAGGAGGAGGAGGACGAGGAGAAGGAGGAGGAGGAGGAGGAGGAGGAGGAGGAGGAGGCGCGGGAGGAGGCGGGGGAGGAGGAGGAGGAGGAGGAGGAGTCCGTTCATTCTTCAACTAGCGGCCCTGCGAGCCCTGCGCCCTTGCGCGGGCACTTTTGGGGCACTTTTGGGCACTTTTGGGCACTCCTATCTCTAGAGGAGCATCCTATGAGTTTCATTCTACTCTGGGCGGCTCGGGCCGGCTGCACGCCAGAGTGGCCCTTCGCCGGAGTGACCTGTTGGTGCAGGCCCACGGGGAGCCCCCCGATGGCCGAGCGCGGTGCGGCAGTAGCGTCGTGGCGCGCTGATGATGACGATGATGGTGACGACGGATCGTCATCGTCATCGTCATCGTCATCGTCAACGTCGTCGTCGTCATCGTCATCGTCATCGTCATCATGGTCATCGTCATCGTCATCGTCATCGTGCGTGCTCCCCCCGCGGCCCCCCCAAAGTCGCGCACCACAGGTCACTTTACTGCCCAGGGCCGATTTTGCCTGCAGCCCCGATCGAGGCGGTACGATAGGCCGAGGCCGAGGCAACGCGCGCTCATGCTCTGCTGCTGCTGCTGCTGCAGGGCACCGTCGCGGATCGAGGAAGAACAACGACATGGAGATAAACTGTCGAGGAATAACAACTCCTCCTCCTCCTCCTCCTTCTCCTCCTCCCCCTCCTCCTCCTCCTCCTCCTCCTCCTCCTCCTCCTCCTCCTCCTCCCCTCCTTCTTCGAGGTGAGGCCACCTGACATGTCAGGCGCTCCGGACGCTTCGGATGCGACTCCTGGGAGATCGTCGTGGGAACGATCCGGGCCCATTGATCGGGACCAACGCCCCTGCTGCTGCAGAGCACGGGCGTGGATCGAAGAAAACTACGGACATGGGCATATTCGGTAGCAAATCATGGGAGCCTGGTGTACCCTTATCATTCCGTCTTTAGCGTCGACTAGCGTCGATTAGCGGGGCTTCGTTTCTTAGTGTGAGGACCTTGCGGCCGGTGCTGTCGACCCTGAAGGTTTGCCCTCCCCTGGGGCCCTCGTCGGCGACCTCCTCGGAAAGGGGGTGGTGGTCCCCGTGCCCCTTTCCCCACACGGGGGGAGGCAGGGGGAGTCCGGGAGGAATCTCGAGTTCCCCCTGTCCACAGGGGGGCCGCCCCCCCCTTTTGTCCCTCCTGTTCCCAAGGGGAACCGGGGAGGGGAGGGGGGAGGGCAGGGGCAGACCCTCCCCCACCCCCCTGTCCACAGGGGAGACCGGGGACGGGGAGGGGGGGGGGCCAGGGGGGACATTCCCCCTTGTCCCCCCTGTGCAGAGGAGGGGGGGGCGGGGAGGGGAGGGAGGAGGGGGCAGGGGGGACCCCCCCCTTTTGTCCCCGCTGTCCACAGGGGGGCCTGGGGGAGGGGGGGCAGTGGGGACCCCCTCGTCCCCCCTTGTCCACAGGGGGGACCGCCCGCGGGGATTGTATTCTAACCCGGGACCGCCAGACCCCAGGACCACCCCCCAGGACCCCCCCCTCGGGATCCCCCCCCCTGGCGGGGAAGGGATCAAAAGGAAGGGGCTCCCCTTCGATTCAACTGCGACATTCGTCATTTTTGCTTTGACTGTTTGGCTTTGGCTGGTGCCCTGAAGGAGGAGGGCCCAGGTCAACGGGAAGGGCGGCGACGACAACCGCTAGGACGGCGATCACGACATCTACGACGACGACGACGACGACGACGACGACGACGACGACGACGACGACGACGACCACGAATCCAACAGCAAAGCCGCTCGCACACGCCGACAGGGTCTGCGGATTTAACGTTGTAGTGCGAAGACTACAATGATTTCGTGCTTGGTTCTTGTTGCGCTCAGGGAGTGCTGCTGTGCAGTACCTGGGGTTATCTAGCGCATGCAGTGCTCTGCTTTGCCAGCCTTCGCAGCGCAAGAAACAGCCAGAAGCAATCAGAATCCTCCTCTTCCTCCTCCTCCTTTCCCCCCCCTCCTCTTTTGCTCTGCGGGAAAGCGCTGCGTGGTCCCACATGCCACGGGTGTAGCCAGAGGTAGGCATTTGGGTTGGTTGTTTTCTCGCCCTGGCGGGTTGCCGCCTGACCATCCCCCGAGCTCCCTCGTTGTCGACGTCGTGGTCATGGTCCTCGATGTCGTCATTGTCGACGGCGGCAGTCATCGTTGTCTTCGACGTCGACGTCGCCATCGTCGTCGACGTCGTTGTTGTTCTCGACAACGTCGTCGTCGTCGTCGACGTCGTCGTCGTCGTCGTCGTCGTCGTCGTCGTCGTCGTCGTCGTCGTCGTCTCCTCCAGCGCCCCATCGTCGCCTGGGCAGGCTGGCAAGTCGTCCGACGAGGGTGCGCGGAAGTTCCACACCGCTCCCCCCGGCTCTGACGAGGCGAAAGACGACACAGACATACAGCTCTCGGAGGTCGGCGCGGGCTTCCTGGGCGCTGGCGCTTGAGCCCCTCCCGGGCGTGAGGAGGGGGGCCCCGTCCAGCAACCCCCTCCAGCCTCCGAGAAGTTCGCGTCTTTGCCGGTTTGTGCTCCTCCAAGGCTCATCCGGGGCCTCCATTAGCGCGACCGAGCCGGCCAAGTCCTCAGGTTGCCGCGAGCAGTCGATCGGGGCTCGGTCATCGGTCGCGGGTCCACGGCCAGCGATCGCGGTCAAGGAACAGGAGAGTTGGAGGAGGTAGGATAGCTCGACAAGGTGGCAAAGTTTGAAGGGCCGGGAGAGTCCTTTTTTGTGAAACTAACGAGAGCCAGGTGGACTAGACGAGTTAGAAGGTTGTATGCCGCTAGATCTTCATGTCTAGTCTTTCGAACAGAGCGGCAGCACTTGCCATCTGTTCCCGAAGCTTTTGGATGTGAAGCGATCAAATATGTGTACACGAGTTTGAATGATTAAATACAGAAGGGTCGAGCACACATTCTAGTTGAATCAGTTCTGGACCTTGTAATGCGTGTGTTTCTGGACGAGCCAGACCGTGAAATCAAGTTAGACGCGTCAGCAGTGGTATGATGTGCAGATGAGGCCACAGGGGTCGCAGGGTTCGAACAAAGGGTTGTGTATGCATCCAGCCGCCTGGACGTTAAACACGGGCCTGGAGGGGGGGGCGAGATACGGTGGGGACATTCATCAAGGAATGGGCCCAGGAGGCTTCAGACCCTGGGGGATCCCTCGTCTGATGAGGGCGGCAGTGTGATCCATGGCCGATCCACGATCGGAGTTTCACCGGCTTCCAGACCCTGGATTCCTTATTTCAGGGTTCCATAGCCAATGCCCTCCCCGTGTGTGTCGAGTGGTTGAGGTCCAGGGCGGGGAGTGGCGGCGGGGTCTTTCCGTGGTCGGGGCGTGGCGGACGACGGGAAGAGCGCGCTCGGGCTCGAAGAATCGCGCGGTGGACGCATGTCGCCCAGAGGGATACCCATTGTTCATTTCTCATTCTGCGACAGGGCTTTGATTTTTTTGGGGGCCAAGATCCTTTCATTTCTAATTGTTCTGTCCTGGGCCTCTTCCTGGCCAGTCACCAGGGGGCCAGGAACACTTGGAAACGAGCACACTTTGAAATGAGCACGATTAGGAATGAACGACGTGTGTGTTTATCAATTGGGGCGGGTACATGGGGGGGGGGAACGCTTCGTTGTCGCTCGTTTGTTCTGGGCGTGTCGGATGACGGGAAGCGCGCTTAGACTCGCCGAGGCACGCGATGGACGTATGCCGCCCAGAGAGATAGATTGATCAGCTGGGGGGGGTCCAGGGGAGGAATGGTTCGTTATCGCTCGTTTGTTCTGGGCGTGGCGGATGATGGGAAGCGCGCTTAGACTCGCCGAGTCGCGCGATGGACGTATGCCGCCCAGAGAGATACGTTGATCAGCTAGGGGGGTCCAGGGGAGGAACGGTTCGTTGTCGCTCGATTGTTCTGGGCGTGGCGGATGACGGGAAGCGCGCTTAGATTCGCCGAGTCGCGCGATGGACGTATGCCGCCCAGAGAGATAGATTGATCAGCTGGGGGGGTCCATGGGAGAAACGGTTCGTTATCGCTCGTTTGTCCTGGGCTTGGCGGATGACGGGAAGCGCGCTTAGACCCGGAGAGTCGCGCGATGGGCGTATGCCACCCAGAGTTTTTTTTCTATGATCAACTGGGGGGCTCCATGGGGGGAATGGTGACAGGGTCGCTCGTCCGTTTGGGGCGTGGCGGACTACGGGAAACACGCTCTTAGACTCGAAGAGTCGCGCGATGGACGTAATGTCGCGATGACGGCATCGACCGCGTTGGACCGACAACGGACGACGCCTCCATGACATCTTCTCCCAGTACAGTCTGCGTGCCCTTAACACCTTCGGCCCAGCAGCAGGACGCAGTACCACATGGAGGAACCCTGACGGTCAGGGTGAGACGCGGATCGACTACATCGCCACGTCTCGCAGTACGGGCTCCCAGGAATTCGCGCGGGTCATTCGTGAGACCCCACTGGCCTTGGGCCCCTCTAGAGATCATGTGACAGTCGAGGCCTCTGTCCGAGTGGATCGACACTTTACTAAGCGACCTCCCAGGACACCGACACCAAAGTGGCACCGTCACCATATCCTGAGTTCTCTCCAGGCGTGGCAGCGCTGGTCTACCGGCGTGGCGGAGGACCCAGGCAGTGGAGGCCCACTGACCACCGCTATCAGCGACGCGCTGCGCTTCCAGGACCGCGTGAGCCGCGCCATTGCCTCCGTGGACCAGGCCCTTGCGCAGACCTCCCCTACCAACTATTACGACTTCCTGGAGCTGGCGGTGGCATCGGCCGCGAGCGACTTCCTCACGCCCAAGCAGGAGCGCCAGTTCTTTGCCTTTTCTGCCGACACGGTCCGACGGATCAAGCATAAACAGGAGGCCATCATGTGGGCCACCTGGCTCGCCGACCAACGAGTTCCTACCGGTGTGCTTCTCACGGCGGAGACCAGAGCTCGATTCCTCCCACTCACCGCTAAACGAGCTACGCGCGCTGAGCGACGCCAGGCAGTCGCCGACCTTGCAGACGAGGCCACCACTTCGGCTCGCCAGAACGACCCCAGGAAGTGTTACAATATCATCAATCGGATAGCCCCCAAACCGACGCCAGCTTCAGTTACTGTGGTGGGACCCGACGGACTGCCCTGCATGGGCGCGATCACGGATACCCAGGCTCGCAAGCAGGCGCTGCTGAACATCTTCAAATGCACTGAGATCTCCCTTCAACGAACGCCCACCACCTGCAGCACCACCCCCGACGACTACGGAAGCCCAACCACTCTAGAACCTGCTCCATTGCACCACCAGCGACGTCAAGCACATCATCGACCTCGTGCCCAGACACAAGGCCGCCCCACCTATCGACACTACGCCAAGCGGACATCGACGCCCGAGTGGTGTGGTGGCTGAGCTCTGGAAGATGGCGGGCTCGACAGGTATTACTGCGGTACGGTTCAAAGATGGAGCCGCGGCACAGCTACGCAAGCCCAAAGGCGATGGCACCAACGCCCGCGATCACTACAGAACGCCCAACATCCTCGACCACCTCGGCAAGGGTGTCTCCAAGTTCATGATCCGATCATTCATCGGACAAGCTACCGCCAAAATCGAGCCCACCCAGTTCGGGGCTACGGCGAAGCGTGCTACTCGAGATGCCATAGCGATGATAGACGACGCATTTCGCCGCTGTCGGGTCGGGGCCAGACACTCCAAGTCGGGTGACATTCTGGTGGGCGTCTTGGTCGACCTGGAGAAAGCCTTCGACCTTCTGCCCAGGGATGCCAACTGCTCCGAGGTCCACCGCCTGGTCGAGTCTGCTGGGTTCACCCTTCTGTGCTTCGAATTGCACAATGGCACATGCTACTTGTTTACGAGCCCGAAGTCATGCCAAGTGGTGGCGACGCTAGCTGTCCAACTGGGGGTCCGACAGGGTTCGGTCGAAGGGCCGCTCTTGTTCATCATAGCGTACAATGTCGTGCTCACAGCGCCTCGCGTTGCCAATGGGGAGCGCGCCATCCCGCCGATCGCTGCCACCCTGGACCTCGAGGGCGTAACCGCGCGTCTCGATGTATCCCGCGTGTGCTTTGTTGACGACGTACTTGCGCTTGCTGTCTTCGAGGGTTGGACGGGGGTCACCGATTTCATTGCTTTCATCGCGTCAGTGCTGCGTGCCCAGGACTATCACATGGATATGCCCAAGACGGAGGTCATTGCAGAGGCTACCGGCCGTGGCCCCCCGACGCCTTAACGAGGATATTGCTGCGCGTTCGACGTGGGTGATGCGCGGTGGGCACCCTCTCCGCCCACAGGGCGCAGTGCAATTTCAGCTACTGGACGGGCTCGCGCTCGCCTTGCCCCCAAAATTTCTCGTGAAGGTTTCATCCCTCTTCAGCTCCGCGTGCGACTGTGGCTCTCATTGGCGCGCGCGATCGCCTTGCGCGGCCTAGAGGTCTGTGTCCTGAGCGACGGGGCCCTGACCCATCTGGAACGGTGGCAAGTTACAGAGCTCCGCAGCGCGGCGAAGCTTCCAGCCCACATGGCAGCGACTACGAACGAGGAGGTACGCCGACGTCTCAAGGTGCACATTATTCAATCCGACTTGCGCTGCCGACGACTCTTGTGGTGGAGGGGGATTCTTTGGACCATCTATAAGCCTGCGGCTGTCCCCCGCGATGCTCCGAGCGCGGTGAGGGCGCGCTGGCTGGGCGCATTATCCTTTGAGCGGGCGGGCGGGGGACCGACCGCCGCCGGCAACTGCTTGCTGATCTGGCGCGCCTGTGCGCTGCTCTTCCGCCAGAATTGCAGTGCCAGCCCCGAGCTCTTCAGATGGCTCCTGGAGCTCCCTGAGGCGCGCCTCGCCATGGTCCGCAATTACAGCTCGACGGTTGGGGATCGACGTGAACGCCATCGCGTAGCGGTTCCTGGAGGGCCCGCGGGTGGAGAAGGCGGCGGAGGAGCGGGAGGCCATGATGAGGGAGGTCCTGATGAGGTTCACCATCGCTGCCACATCCGCCACTTTGAGTTTCAGAGCAGCCGTGCTCTCAACATCCACCTAGGTCGCCAACGCCATGATAATTTGACGGGGGTGGCACCGACGCGGACCCCTTCGCTCCAGCGTGCCGAATGCGGGGCCCAGTTCGCAAGAATTGACTCCCTCAAGACACGCGTTCGGGGTCGTTGCCGCGTTACCGTTGTTGGGGCCCCAGCCAAGCCCACCAAACGTCAGAGGGCCGAGGGCGATGAGGCGAACGGCAGCGGGGATGCCAGCTCTTCCATGTCCAGCGCGGAGAGGGCGCTGCTGAAGGAGATGGCCAAACTCGTTCTCCAACGCGAGGGCAGTCACCGCGCCGCCCACCACGACAACAACGTGGTCCTCGAGCTCGACAGCAAGGCCAGACTGAAGCTGAGCCTGGACCGAGCGTTGGACTCCTGCGACTCCGAAGGCATGGCGGCAAAGGCGGCGGCCGCGGAGGCGGACGAGGTGTACGAAGGGCATCCCCACGGCAAGCGCCCCGACGCCCTGTTCCGAGCGGTTCTGTGCCACCTACAACTGGCCCTTCGCGAGCAAGAAGCTGTCCTGTCGGAGGACA